GAGAGAGAGAGAGAATGGCAATGTTTCTTTAGCAATGTGTACCAGGTGGTACGTCACGGAACAGCAGAATTCTAGTGAACTCTCTAGGAGCTTTAGAGTATAAACTGGTATGTTCAGTTATTTGTGATCTACAAATTCCTTCCTTAGATCGCTTTACTGAAAATGATGAACAGATCACCTGCAACTGTTACTTCAAAAGAAAAAAATAACAAAAAATACACAAAGCACATTGGGAAATTTTTATTAACTTAAATTGGCGTTCCTAAATTTGCCTACCAAGTCCTTAGTAAATGTCTTTATTTGATACAGACTTGCAGGAAGTTTTTAACGCCACAGAATCATGAAAGCTCAGTTATTGTTGTCTTGTAATGATTAAAACAATGTTCAAATAATTAACAAGTTACTTTTCTGAAATACTTAATATTCTCAGGAGTGTTTGAAAGCTCTTTGAATAAATAGTGATTGATACATTTATGATGTATTTGGTGCTGAAGATAAACATTTCTTATATAAAACATTGTTTTAACAAACCACTGCCCTAATTCGGCTGTTAATTAGATATATTTTCATACTAAATAATAAAGCTTTATCTTCATATTTATTTTATTTATAGGTCTCTTATCCATGAAGAACTTTGTATCCAACAACAGAAACAGGCATGCTGCAAGTGACAGTCATTCTGTAGAAGCAGAAAAGATGACTACAAAAAAAGAAACTAGAAACGTGCATTATACATTCTTTATATAACAGTCCGTTCTGAGCAGCAGAATTATATGCAGACCAAAAGCTTTCAAAGGTTTGTGTGCCTATGTGGCAATTACAATCTTCACACTAAAAAGAAAAGGGACAATAACACAGACCACAGTATTTTAAAGAATTATAGCACATTTAACACCATCAGCCATCCACCAGGATCTTGCTCAGATTGGCAACTGAAATTTCACATCCACATGGGCTTGCTTAGCCAAGGTCACTATTTCAGAGAGTTTTACAACCTGAAAAGAGAGAACAAAGCATCTCAGTCTATATAGTCATAAAAAGTAAACTCAGACCCCAAATCAAGATAAAATACAGAAGGATCTTATTCATTTAAAACAACAGGGCTAGTGCGGGCGTGGAGGTGCACACCTTTAATCCCAGCACTTGAGAGGCAGAGGCAGGCAGATCTCTGCGAGTTCAAGGCCAGCCTGGTCTACATAGTGAGTTCCAGGACAGCTGGGGCTACAGGGAGACCCTGTCTCAAAAAGACCAAAAATAAAAAATAAAAAAAGAACCAACAGGGCTATTCTAAAATTGATTTGAATCGTATTACATCTCTAAAAGGAACTGACACTCCTCATAATCTGTCCAACTAAATATTTTCTGATAACACAAACATATGTATCTTACCTAAATTTTATCTTGAAGATGAAAATAGTGAGTTTTCTTGTATACCCCACAATTCAAAGCATAAAGAAAAATTTACTTTGAAAAAGTTTACAACCTTCATTTACAATATTGGGGTGGGAATTTAGGTATAAGAATTGCTTGGTTTGTTTTCTGTAAGGTAACAATAGTCAACCAAAACTCCAAAGTTCTGTGTACAATCTGAGAATATCCACCTATTTCCATACAAGTATATATATCTAAATCAAAATTTAGCTTTTCTCCCAGTGCAGTAGATATAAAAAGAAGTTTAGGGTTATGGGTAGACCCCAGTAGTATATCACTTGCCTACCATGGGCCTACCAAAGGCCCTGAGTTCAATCTCCAGGACCCCTTCCTTCCCGAAAAGAAAAACGAGGGCTGAAGTTACGCATATTGGATTCAAATTATCATTCTGATGTTTATGACATCTAACTTTGCATGAGTTAATTTATGTAGCCTATTTCCTCATCCACATACATAAAAATTTTATCATCACACTAATATTAAATGAGACAATCTTGGGGGAAAAAAATAGCATTGTCGAGCAGTCAATACCACAGACTGAACTTCCAGTGTAATAGACTACAGAGCAGAGGAATGTGCTGAACAAATGACACCCAGGGTTACAACCATTAAAATCCAGCTATAAAAGACTCCATAGGATCACCAACATAGTTTTGATAAATGAACTACAGAAGAGAATTCTTTTAAAAGGGCTAAAAATCAAGAAAAGTAGTTGCACATTAACCTGCAGTATAAACAATTTGATCCTAACTAAGCTTTAATACAAGCACCTGGGAGGCAGAGCCAGGTGGATCACTGGGAGTTCGAGGCCAGCGAGTTCCAGGACAGTCAGGGTTACATAGTGAGACCCTCCTCAAAAAACAAAAAACAAAAAAACAACAAAAAAAAACCCAACTAATTCTAACAAAGAACCCAGATAATGTGAGATAATCAGGAAACTTCCACATGAATGAGCTTTTTATTTTTCAAAATAAAATACAACCATAATACCAGTATCCCACTTAAATGACACTGTCTTATATCATTATCATATTTTATAGCTATTATAGCTATATGATGATATATGAAATTATATATATTGAGATTTTTTAAAAAATAATCATAGGTGAGAGATGAAATAGGTAAGAACACATTTTAGGCCAGATTGGGTATAAACTGGCCATTTTTTAAAGATGGATCAGAAGTATGAGAGGTTCTGAAAAGAATTTCTCTTAAATTCTCATTGACTCCTCCAAAATCTTTTCAGAAAGGCCCTGGACTTAGCAACATCCACATTTGTGTCTGCATTGTCCAGTTTTAACAAAACTTTTACTTTAGTCAATTTAGCAAGACTCTCCCCTACTTAGGTTGTTTCCTCTTAGTAATTTTGCACCTACTGACCACCCACCCCATTCTTGGGATAGAAATTCCCACTTTTTCTTATGGTATTTGAAGCTGAGTACAGTCTTAAATCCCACACTGCACAATCCCACCTTAGCAGTATGTGTACCCATCATGATCAGGCCCCAGAATTAAGTTTGCATTCCATATATTTAGATTAAGCACTAATTATTAGCAGGATTAATATTATTTGCCCCATTTTAGAATCTAAAGGATTCTAAGTCCTTTGCACACTAGAAATTTGTCCTTAGGTTGACAGAGCCTGTTTACCATTTTAGCAGCTTCATCCAAGTCATCACAAGCAAGAATTTTAAGTCCACTGTCTGCTATCAGTGCCTTAGCATCATCAACTCGTGTACCTGGAAGTGATTTATGCAAAGATATGTAAATATTCTAAATATATACACAAAAGCATTTAAAATCATTTAAATTTTTTTTTGAATTATTTTTATTTTATGTGTATGTGTGTTATCCCCACACATCATGCAGTGCCCTCAGAGAGCAGAAGAGAGTGGCGGAGTCCCTGGAACTGGAGTTACGGATGGTTGTTAGCCACCATGTAGGTGCTGGGATTCAAACCTGGATCTTCTGTAAGAATACCAGTGCTCTTAACTGCTGAGCCATCTTTCCAGCTCCATATTTAAAATTTTTTTGTTTTTGTTTTTATTGAATTTTTTGTGTATTTCATACAGAACATCGCAATCTTAATCATCTTTATACCCCCAGTTCCCACTGGCACCCTCCCATAGCCCCCCATTGGAGCCCATATACTCTGTCATCCCTGTTAAGGCCCACTGTATCATCAGTGTCCCCAGTTGTTCCCCAGTGAGGTCCAGTCAGCCTATGCAGAGACCCTTGTTTTAGGAAGATTGGCTCTTCTTCACCTAGCAGCAATCAGTTGCCAGCATTCCTTCAGATAAGATTGGAGTCTGCTATCCATTTTCCCAGTTCTATGCTGGGTTATTGTCTGCCTGAGTTTGCATGGGACTTGTACATGCTAACACCACCGCCACAGAATCATATGAGCAGGTTCCCAGGAGTTTGTAGGACTCTGTTTCCATATGGTCATGCACCTCCTCCCTGGCTGTTACAATCTTTCCACCCCCTCTTCCATGATGGTCCCTGAGCCTTAGGTGGGTGAAGTTTAATAAAGGAGTCCTGTCCAAGGACCATCACTCAGCAGACTCTTGATCTCTATGCTCTGGCCATTTGTGCAATTTTGTGTTCCTGGCCCTCTGCTGCCTGAGGGAACTTCATTATTGAAAACTGAGAAATGTATCAGTGTCCTCTTCTTTACCCCTGTTCTATGTTCCATGAGCCCTAGGTATAAAGGTTGCATGTTTTTAAGTATGAAATTTCAACATAGGAATCTCTCTATCAGCATAAATACTTATAGCATAAATATTTATAAAATAAATAAAATATTTAAGAGCTTGAAACTACACTGTGAAATAGTTTGTTTTACCATATCCAACGTAATAAAGGTAAAGTCAGACTCTCAGATGAATCACAATTAATTAAAAAAAATCAAGTTATACAATGCAAAACTAACCACTTTTGCCCTAATTTTTTAAAAATTTTTTTATGTGTATGAGTGTTATGCCTGCATGAAGGTAAGTGCACCCATGTCGTTCAATGCCCATGGAGGACAGAAGAGGCTGTCGGATCCCCTAGAACTGGAGTTACGGATGGTTGTTAGCTGCCATGTGGGTGCTGGGATTCGAACCCGGGTCCTCTGCAAGAACAGTCAGTGTTCTTAACTGCTGAGCCATCTCTCCAGCCCTGCATCCTAATTTTTTTTTAAAATCAGTTTTTAAGCTTTGTATTATATAATGCTTTCACTAAAACGACAGCTATTTGTAGAACTACCTTTTAAATGAAGTATGCTCCTTAGAATCATGTCATTTTAAACAATTAGGAACAACTAATATCTTTAACACTCACCTTGTAACCGTACTACAACAGGTATTTTAATCTCTAAATCTTTTACTGCCATGACTATTCCCTGTGCAATAATATCACATCTCATGATTCCTCCAAAAATGTTGACCAGAATAGCCTGTACCTGTTTTGGGGTAGATTGAAATACTATTATTATTATTAAAAGAATAAGATTTATCCTTCTCTCAATAATAGCAGGATATGCATCTTACAAAAAATTAATTCCATGTAACATTTTCAGACTAAACCATCATTTCCTTTTCTCTCAGTTTACTGCCCACCAGAACTTATTTCCACTAATTTTAACACCTGGTTTACATTTTCTTTTCTACTCTAGCTCTATAATAAGACCTCTTAATTCCACCTACTGTTTTCCTATTAAAGCCAACATGATTTCCTCAGATTACAACCTACAGATCTCCATTAGCATCCATCACTTGCTAGCTCTTCATTTTACCCACCAATTTTTGACACAAATGCTGGTCATAATAATTCTATAACTGCTTCTCCTCTGGATCATGACCCCTTTAACTACTCACTTTTCTTTGTGCTGTTTGAATCCAGAGCCCTGTGCATGCTGAGCAACAGCTTTACTACTGAGCTATACCCCCAGTGCAACACTTCCTCCTTTTAATATCCTCATCTCTTTTCCTTCTCCAGCTAGAAATTGCTCATTGCTCATTTTACTGGTCTTCTCAAACAAGCAAGCAAATATATAACATAAAGCTCTTCTCAACCCAACATACTTTCAAATAACACCGTGCCCCCCTTCCATGCCTTCTTCATCTCTCCAGGATGTCTCTCTGCACTCCCTCAATTCCAAATCACAACTTAATCCTTTACAAACTGCCTTTGCCCCTCCTCTGCAGTTCTTACTATGGTTTAGCTCTTTCAGTACTTACCCTGCTTAACAACTCCTACAGCATCTGACTGTTGTCTATAGTCTTTCTTCTAAAAACTGTCTGCTCTGGACATCAACCCTCTCCTGACTTGCTCTTACCACTATCAGTCTGTTCTCTCTCTCAGTGGAGCATGCTTCTTTATAACACTGAGGGGACAGGTTTTACTCTATTCTATTGGTTCCCTCATCTCCCCAGCTCCTAAGACATCAATGTTCCCCAAATGCTGAGGACTCTCAAATGTATCCTCAATCCTAAGAAGCATAGCATCTTTAGAGCCGATTGTTTACTAGAGACACCACAACCAAAATCTACTCATCCACTCCAAAATACCTATTCTACCTTGCCTCTGTAGTACAACCCCCCAATAAAGTACCCTTTGTCTCATTTTGGTTTAATCTTCTTTTTTTCCTATAGGATCAAAGAGAAAGACAGAAAAATAAACTTTTTAAAGAATTCTGAAGCCTAATTCCACAAAAATGAATATTATCAGCATATTTATTAATGAACTAAGTATGCATAGGTATGTATTTTTTACAATTCCAGGCTTTTCTATTTTTACTTTTTAATTTTATTGTATATGAGTGTTATGTCAGCATGTATGTAAGAGCAAACGTGTCATTCAATACCCATGAAGCTGAGAAGAGGGTATTAGATCCCCTGGAACTGGAGTTGCAGATAGTTATTAGTCACTATGTGGGTGCTGGCACTCTGCAAGAGCTGCCAGTGCTCTTAACTGCTGAGCCATCTTCCAGCCACTATTCCAGGCTTTTGCAGTCAACTACTACCTCCAGGATTGCTTTCTATATGAATGGCTCTCATACCAGCTCCCCATTAGCATTAATAATTTCATTTAACACCACCAATTTTTCTTCACTATGTTTGCTAAATCATAAAAGCTAATTGTCAAAAGTTTTCTTTTATTTCATAAAAGATTTCAATTCCTCTTTCCAAACTATATTGTAGTCCTTTGAATTTTAATATTCAGCTAGCATAATGACATCTACCAATTATCAACTTACTTCTCACTATTTCAATTCTAAGACATAGTCTTACCCTTACCATTTTGTCTGCAGTGATAAGCTTAAATGCTTCTGTTACTTGCTGAACTGTGGCACCACCACCAACATCAAGAAAGTTGGCTGGCGTTCCGCCATGTAGCTTTATTATATCCATTGTGGCCATAGCCAAGCCGGCACCATTCACTAACAAGAGGGGAAAATGATTTGTGTAAGAAACACAGATAACAAACTGAGCTGTAAAAAGCCAACTGTGACACAGAAACATGGTACCTAGACAGCCTATGGTTCCCTCAAGGCCAATGTAGTTGATCTCTGCCTCAGCTGCTGCCTTGTCCCTCTCATCCTCTTGGCTCCAGTCCCGAAGGGCAAAGATTTTCTTTTGGCGAAAGGCTGAATTTGAATCAAAATTGATCTTTGCATCCATACACAACACTTTGAAGAGAAACCAAAGAAAGTGATCTTAAATTTTATGAAAGATACAATAAACTATTCAATTACAAACTAAGGGGAAAATTTTTATTTTATTTATTCAAATTATTTCAATTTATGTTCAAAATAAATTCAAATTGTTTCTTGAAGAATAATTAGGGATTTAAAATACCTCAATGTTACCGTTTCTACATTCATCTCAGAATTAAAAAAGAAAAAAGCATGCCTTAAAGGCAATTATAAATTTTTGTGTTTTTTTTTGTTGTTGTTTTGTTTTGTTATTTTTGTCTTTTGCAATGTTACCGTTTCTACATTCATCTCAGAATTAAAAAAGAAAAAAGCATGACTTAAAGGCAATTATAAATTTTTGTGTTTTTTTTTTGTTGTTGTTTTGTTTTGTTATTTTTGTCTTTCTGAGACAGGGTCTCCCCATAGCCCCAGCTGTCCTGCAACTCACTATGCAGACCAGGCTGGCCTTGAATTCACAAAGATCCGCCTGCCTCCGCCTCCCAAGTACTGGGATCAAAGGCGTGTGCCACCATGCCTGGCCTGCAGTTATAAACTTTTAAAACTTTCCAAGAATTAACTATTCCATATTTTTAGCTAACCTTTTCACTTGGACCCCAGATTCCATCCTCCCTCATCACTCAAGGACAGCTAATAGTCTTCTGGTACCTCATAAAACCACTCCCCCTACTTTTCTAGTGGCTAAATCCCAAAGATTTGTAAAGATACTGTAAATATTGATTGCTATTTCCTTTAAGCCCAACTCCTCCTCACTCTTTTCTTCCTAAACAGCAGTCTTCCTCCAAAGACCAAATGTTTACAAGGATTGAGAAGGGGGCAGGGGAGGGTATCAGCAAGCTATGATTCAAGGACCAGATGACTTCTGCCAAATTACTTATGGCTTGTGAACTAAGAGCGTTAAGAGTGTGATTTATAAATTATAAATAAGAATGCGATTAAAAGATTATGAAGAATAAGAAAGGAGAAAAGGAGAATAAAAATAAGAAAAACATCCAAACCCAAGACTATGCATATGGCTGATAAAACACAAAATACTTATAAACCATCAATCCATTAAACTTCTTGTTCAATTTTTTCTCTTGCCATTCACTCTTATACCCATTCTAATTACCTTCTACCACCAACACTCAATCTAAAGGCTCTTTTTTGTCTTTCTTTTAACTTTTTTAAAGGTACTATCTGTATCTAACCCAGGGTGTAGTATATATTAGACAAGCACTCTACCACCAAGCTATATTCCAACCCTTATTAGATATATTTTTTATTTATTTTTATGTCTATGAGTGTTTTGTCTGCATGTATATAAATGCACTTTGTGCATGCAATGCCCTCAGAGACCAGAAGTGGATACCAGATCCCCATGGATCGTTGCTGCCATGTGGGTTCTAAGAACTGAACCAGGGCCCTCCAGAAGAACAGCAAGTGCTCTTAACTGCTGAGCCATCTCTCCAGCCCTTAGTCTTTCAGAAAGGGTCTCGTTATGTAGTCCATGCTTAGCTCCAACTCACACTGTTCCTCCCTCAGCTTCCGATGGAATTACACACATGTCCCACCATGCCCAGAACCAACTGGCTCTTATGAAGGTTAATTCTGACTTTATCTTTCAGTATTCTATCCCTTCCTCAATCTAACTACAACAAGCTCTTTACAGTTCCTGAACAAACAGATGGCTGAAAACATGAGCAGTTTCAGTTACTAGAAAACACAGGAGATAAGCTATTGATTCCAATACCAGAGGCAAGAGTCAGCATTTGGAGGAGGCAGCTAGAGCAAAGCAGGCTGCAAATCTAGAAGTGTGACACAGGATTCAAAAGCTGGTAGATTCCCAGCTATTCCTTTTTTTTTTTTTTTTAATGTATATGAGTACATTGCCTGCATGTATGTGAGTGCACCCATGTCATGCAATGCTGCAGAGGTCAGAAGAGGGCTTTGGATTCCCCTTGAACTGGAGTTAAGGACGGTTCGTAGCCGCCATGAGGGTGCTGGGAATCGAACCCAGGTCCGCTGCAAGAGCAGTCAGTGCTCTTAACCGCTGAGCCATCTCTCCAGCCCCGATTCCCAGCTATTCTTAAACAAAACTAGTTGGGAATTTTAAATGCCTGAGAGTTACTACATCTTTTTTTTTTTAATTGAATTTTTATTGAATTTTTTGTGCATTTCATACAGAATATCTCAAACAATCTTAATCATTTTTAAACCCCCATCCCCACTGGCACCCTCCCATAACCCCCAACTGGAGCCCATATATTCTGTCATCCCTGTTAAGGCCCACGGTGTTGTCAGTGTCCCCAGTTGTTCCCCAGTGCAAGTCCACCCACTGAGGTCTAGTCAGACTATGCAGAGATCCTTGTTTTAGGAAGATTGGCTCCTCTTCACCTAGCAGCAGTTACTGTTTCTATATCCATCACATAGTCCTCATTGCCAGGACAATCAAGATCATGGAAAGCACATGGCAGAACTTGGGTCTGGGAGGGAAGTACCCTGACAGACCCCTCTAAAAATGTAAACACAGGTGGGTGGACCTTCCACACCCCCAAGTCTCAGTCACAGAAAGCCATGCAAAGACTGATCCCCAGAGCACCAGAGACAAGGTTACGATCTGCAGGCCTGGGACATGAGAACAGAAAATTCTGACAGAAATTAGACTTCAATCACAGAAATCACTGTTAACCTGGAAGGATACACTGATTTCACTTGTTTGAATTGCTGAGACTAGACCCTTTGCCTTCACCTATGGAGACAGCTAAAAGAGAAAATACAAGCAAAGGAGAAACCAAAATTTTCCCAACTAGGAAGTAATAGTAATTGTGGCATAATACTTGCTATTTCATTTTACTGTTTTCTTTTTAGCCTTTTATTTTTGAGACAGAGTCTCCCTGTAGCCCCAACTGTCCTGGAACTCACTATGTAGACCAGGCTGGCCTTGAACTCACAGAGATCCACCTGCCTCTGCCTCCTGATGCTGGGATTAAAGGCGAGTGCTGGGATTAAAGGTGTACACCACCACACCCAGCTTTTTATTCTTATTTTTTAAAATTATTTTTGATATTTATACTTTTATACTTGGCTTTCTTGTTATGTTTTAACTGTACCTCTCTGGAAAAGGCATCTGTCCTTTCTCTAAACCCAACAGTCAGCATTTCTCTACTACTTTTTATACTCTAACTCATATACTTTCCTTCCCATTCTTATTTTAGCCCCTTTATTTCCCATTTCCTGTCCACATCACTACTTAAATATTGATACTCTTAGCTCTAAAAACAAAACAAAACAAAAAATCTTACAAACTGCATTTTTCACAACAGGTACCCTAGTGCTGCTATCTCTGTACCTATCAGGGGACACAAGTAACATTCACAAGTGTCTTTTACTATGTCAAGTTAATGCTGGGCTGCAGTCAAACCATTATATTTGCTACAGCAGTTAGCTTCCCTCCTAAACACAAATCCAAGCGAAGATAACTTAGCAGGAGGGCTCACATAAAACAAAAACAGTGGGAAAAATGAAAACTGGAGGACACATCCATCTTAACAGATATACAAAACACAACAAAGAAACTCAAAAACATGGGACCAATAATCACCAACACTTCCACAAGCTTCCAGCTTCTCAATACCAGAGAAAAAGATGAGATAGCTGAAATGCCAGAAAGATGCCTAAATTTTAGAAAGTTCTACTTTCTAAAAATGCTCAATGACTTTATAGAGGACTCTAACAAGCAGATGAAAGAAGGAAGGAAGTCAATTCAGGACTAAAATAAGAAAATTACCTAAGTAAACAAAAATTAAAAACATGGGGGGAAGAATTAAGATGCTAAAAAAGAAGCAAATAGAAATTCTGGAAATGAATCAATCAAATAAAAGAAGCAGTTATTAGTTCAGTAAATGATCACCATATTAAATTAATATCAATAGGAAAAAATGGTAATTCTTATTTTCCACATGAATTATATATTGATACACTGTTACACAATTATTGAATACTTGTATTTATATAATTTACTAAGAAACCACTTACCACTTTTAATAATGAGTCCTCCTTACTATGAACACTACACATTTGAAATGACTTGATAAAAATAAGTAACGGAGCTAAAGAAAAACCTAAGCACAATGTATTGTGCCTGATAAAACTGATCACAATTGATCCTAAATGGCTAGAGTTTGGGAGGGTTGTGGTGTTGGTGGTGGTGGTGGTGGTGGTGGTGGTGGTGTGTGTGTGTGTGTGTGTGTGTGTGTGTGTGTGTGTAAATGTGCTAAAAAGTCAAAGCTAAGAGAACTTGGATCTAGAGATATTTTATATTTCTTTGAAAGTGAGGCACAATAAGAGACCTGAAATTCAAAAAATTTGACTTTTATGGCTATGAAGAAGAAAATGCCCATTCCTGTGAGAGACCTTCCAAACTGCTTTGACTGAAACAATTCCAACTCTACCTGGAATTTATAATGCAACCCTGTACAAAATATACATGGAAAAATCATCAGACTATATTAAGTGAATAAAGCAAGATGCAAAATGCATATAGCTCACAATCTTCTGTAAGGGAGTAATTAAGAACATATTTTCTAATCTGTTTTACTTAAAATATGAACAGTAGAAAAAAATGAGGGTGGAGAGCATGGACATAGATGATAGTAGAAAGAAAGGAAAAATTTCAAGAAGAAATAAGATGGGTAAAAATATACTTTGTTACATTGCTTGAAGTTTTGAATTATATAAATAAATATGAAAATATTCAAAGACGTGAACTGTAGCAAACGGAATCACTCAAAGACACCAGATCCTAACTTAGAGAAACTGTATTACTTGGTGTGGTAAAATTTCTGCAGATATGACTAAGGATTTTGAGATTAGGACATTATCCTGGATTAAAGGACACCACAGCATCCTTGTAAGAGAAAGGCAGAGGAGACCAGAGAAGAAGCAGCAATGAGGCCACAAAGACAGAGACTGGGACCAGTCAAGGAATACTACTGGAAGCTAAAAGCTAGACACAGCATGGAACAGATCTGGCCCGCGGCCTCTGAAGAGACAGAGGCCCTGCTGGCATCCTTACCTTCTGAGATTTTGGACTTCTAGACTCTAACTCTAAGACAAAACTCCGATTTAAGTCACCTAAAGTTATGATAATTTGTTATATCAACCACAGAAAACTAACACTGATAGCAAAGAATCTGAACAGAAAATTCACAAAAAGGAAAACTTGTTCAACAAACATGAAAAATACTCAATGAACTGAAAATTAAATAAAACACTAGTTCTTCATTATTCATTTGGAAACAAAACCCAATATATAGATAATACTTCTGGCAAAGTATGCAATGAGTTAGACACTGAATATATATTAAAAGTATGAAGGGAGAGAAGAGAGGGAAACAGAAGGGAAAGAAAGGAGAGAGAAGAAACCTGCATGGAAAAATAGATCTAAAAATGTTATTACTCAAAAATTGAAACACAAGTTAAAAATATTACTATTTGACCCACTCTACCTCTAAAAATCTATATGAAAGGTGGTCAGAGATGTAATCAAAGACATAAAGAACAAATCTTTAAAAACTATCTCTTGAGGCTGGGCATGGTGGCACATGCCTTGCTACAGGGAGACTCTGTTATAAAACAACAACAGTGGGGGGGGCATCAATTACAGAAAAGGTACAAAGGAACTACATTAACATTAAAAGGTTAGGAGTTATAGTAGCTATTTTTCTTTATACTTACATTTCTTGGCACTGTATAAATTTTCTCTAATAAGCACACCATATCCTTAATCAGGGAAAATATTTCTAAACAAAAACACATGTATACTAAGAAAAGCAAACCTGAATACATAGAAAAATAGTTATTAAGAGGATGAAGACAGTCCCTTAGCAACAGAATATGGCTGCTGAATTTCAGATGGAGATAATTCAGTGAGCTTGTTTTCAGTACTACTTGTGTCTCTCAAATTACATAAAATCGGAAAAATATTATCAGATGCTTTATACATATAATTCTTCACTAAATGCATTTTTAAAATATACATCAGCCCTCACTCACTCTTCAAAAAGTTTATGTTCTGTTTTACAAAATATCTTTATTACAAGAGAATTTATTTATTCTTTATACTAGCCTATAAAAGACCAAATAAAAATTGATGTTCTTAGTAAAGAAAAGAAGTAATTACAGGTATAAAAGTGAAAAATGAACTACAAATACTTGAGATTAAATAGTCCAAACAGACTTGAAACAAAAATTAAATAAATTACTGCAATAAAAGCAGTTAATACAAAATACCAAGAAAAATTTAGACTAGAATAAAACAACTTAATTTTTTTTAAAAAAAAACATAAATAGAAGACATAATGACTTAAATCTGATGTACCATTTATACATATACAAAATGAGAGCCATCCAAATGGACAAACTAATCTTCTTACTTCTGTAGTGGCTGAAAATAGTAAAATGATGTTAGCTTTAAGCATATCCTTTTACACAAGAGGTCCATTCATGCAGACTCAGATGGCCAATTCTCCAAAACTATAGCTAGCACCTGCCACAACCTTCAATACTCCAACACAGCACTACCTAGCAGAACCCTCTGTGGTGAAAATGCTCACTACCTGTACTACCTAATTCTAGTATGATAACCACTTGAAATGTGACTAATGTGACTGCAGAACTGGATTTTCCAAATCATATCATTTTAATTATTCTAATTTAAACAGTAACCTGTGATGGTCATCAGTGCTGCTCTATCTCTATTTGCCTGGGTTTCTTTCGAATTTATTCATATTCAATTCATTATAAACTAAGCTTCCACATAGGAGTGAGTTCACTTCCTTATAAGGTCAACTTCCTTAGTGAAGCAAACAATAATAAATACACAATACCATTTGACAAAAGAAGATACTTTACCCTCTCCATCTGAATCTTCTACCATTGGGTTGATTTCTACCATAGTTGCATCATATTTCAGAAACAGGCTATAAAGTTTGAGCATGTTTTCTGCTGCAGAATCCACAATATAAGATGGAAATCCCATCTTCTGTGCAAGCTGAAAGCAATATGTCTTTTTAAGAAGTAGTTTGCATTGTCCGATCAGCATTAAAATGTTGCAAATAAACTTTCACCATTTTAAAAAAAAGTACAGGCCACTCACCATCAAACAATCACGGAAATAACAGCTACTATTACTAAATGTTTAAACAAAACTTTTTTTCAAAATCCTCACAGGGTAGATTTTTTGTGCCTATTTTACAAATGAGAAAATGATTCAGAGAGGTCAAGTATGCCCATTAACCTAGAGTACAGCTCCAGTGTTCATCCCACAGCTTTCAGACTGCCTCTAAGACTATAGCCAACCCACACTGGAAAAGAGGCTTCTAGTTTATTAAAACTACATTTTAAAAAAAAAGTAGATTAACAATCTCAATGATCCAGACAGTGACCAAAATATTAACCCATTCTACTTGATGTTGAAGTTAACTTCAGGAAGAGTCTACCAGGCTATGCAGTCAGATGAGTATTGTTTCACTCATTCAAAACTCAACTGAGCACTTAAGAGATTCAGGTTTCAAAGATACAAGTATTTATGCTTCTAATCTAGTCGAAGAGTTTTTAATTTTCAGCAGAAGTCCTAATCAAAGAGATCTGTAGAGCACTTTAAACAAATATCAAGATCTCAATCCAGCAATTCTAGTTCACAAGTTTATAGTGAAGCAAGTCTATCATTTCTTTTTGGTCACTACCAGGTACTAAACTTAGGACCTCATGCACATCAAGCACTCTCCCACTGGGCTACATCACCCAAAATGCATCTATCATTCTTTCATTTCATAAGTAATTTGGAAACACAAATGCAGAGGACATGGGTCTGCTCAGGAAGAATTCTTTCCTCTTTTTCAATTATTACCAAAGGCTGCAACCAAGAAAAACAATGTAATTTTGGGATGACCTATTTTAAATAAAGAATAATAAAATATAAAATACCATTTCAGTACAAAACATTTTTATTAGTTTTATATAAATATTCAAGAATTGCAAAATAATTCTATCAATTCACTGTGTCATTAATTTGCCAAGCACTGTGCTAGGCATCAATTCTGCTCAGTATTCAGAATGCTATAATCTTAGCATCTTATTCTTTCAAGTAGTCTTATATAACAAATATTTTCTTTCTCATCTAAAGCTCACTCTCTACTCATCCTCTCATATAACCACCCAATGAGTCAAATCTCTATCCCTTTTAAATATTTATACCATTCATTTGCCTAGATCCTCTACTCCATTATCCGTAAGAGAAATTTCCTCATCTCCTTTAAGTCTTGTGCCTGTCAAACTTGCTTTTGCTGTACTTCAATATATAAGCTTATGTCAAATATTTGCTTTCTTACTATCAACTAGTTAATTTCAATTTTTATTAAGATGAGTCACTCATGTTTATATTCAAGCCTAACAATTTAATCTATTTTTATATCCAAAACAATTTAATTCAATAGCATCATCTAAAATATTATCAAGCAATTCTTATAAGACATATAAACTCCACAATTCTTCTGGAAGGAGCAGAGGTCTAAAGACTAGGGGAGTTGGAAAGTGGGGGGCAGTACAGCAAACCAGGGAAACTAAACAGAATTTACTGATTCATCATGAAAATACACCACAGCCTTTCTACCACTGCATATAATTTATAGGAAATAAAGGGGAGAGCAGAACATTTAAAATGACTCAATGGGGATATAAAATTCAGACTATGAAAAACAATGATTGACAATCACCCCATATTCTTCAACAAATAAACTGAAATAAAAGAGAAAAGGGAAACCTATAAAATCAGAAAAAGATCTGTATGGAACATATTAATCAATCACAGGGAAGGACCTCTTATGGATCCTGACACAGAAAAATTAGAAAAGGAACAATAATGAGGCAATTAGGAAAATTTGAATGATTGGCTAGTGAAGACATTAAGGAATTGCTGTTAATGTTACTAGATACGGTAATGGCTCACTGGCCCTATATAAAGCATCCCTGTCTTTTAAAGATATATACTAAAATATTTATATAACCTACAAGGAAAAGCACTATAGATACTTTTTAAAAATGATATTCTGGGGGTGGAGAGATGGTTCGGTGGTTAGGGCACTTGTTTGCAGAGTACCTGGGTCAATTCCCAGCACCCACCTGGTGACTAACAACCATCCAACTCCACTTCCAGAGGATCAAATGTCCTCTTCTAACTTCCACAGGCATTGCATGACATGGGTACACTTACATACAATTGTAGGCAAAACATTCATACACATAAAGTAAAAATAAGTAAATCAAAAAATTTTAATTGCAATTTTAAATAAGAGATTAACTTGTCTTTAATTTTTTAGTGTTTCAAAAAGTTAATTATCTTTCCTTAAGTATCACATTTATCTAATTAAGATTTTTCAAAATGCAACATACCGCCAGAGCTTGTTCCTTTTTGATGCCTTCTAAAATGTCAACAGGTTCTTTAACTATAGCTTCAGGATTCTCAGCAGCAACGTCTTCAATGTTAACACCCCCTTGTGCACTTCCTATTAACACAGGACCCTAGTGAGGTTAAAAAAAAGACAAAATATCTAAATTTGATTTTAGATATTTCAATAAAATGTTAAAACTTATCTATGTATGTCATCAGATGTAGGCATCTACTATTTTAAAATGTCTTTGGGAATTTATCTTACCTCCAGCAAATGTTCAACTGAAACAAAGAAAAAGAAGCAAAAAAGAAGACAAAAATCATGGCTGCTTATAAGGAAAATAGATAAAAAAATATACACAAAGCTTTTATCAAATGAGTAAATACAATAAAATACATGAAATTTAACCTATGTATTTTTCTCATAAACTGAACAGACATTAAAGTATTTCTTAAAGTAGAAGTAAGAAATTTTTAAAAAATAGACTATTGATATCTGAAAGCTTAAGAAAAAGTTGCAGGATTTCTGAGCTCTAATCTTCCTACAGGTCAATAAAAAAGAAAAATCACCTTGAAAGAACAGCTGTGGCTACTGTCATGAACAATGTAAAAAAGATATACATACAAATACTTAGATTATTAACTTCAGAGTTTCTCTAAAATCAGTCCTGAAAATATCCTAAAGCAATATGGTTAGAAATGATCTTGACATGTAAAAATGGCAAAACCATATTACTAAATATTATTTAATGAATTTAAAAAAATACCGATTAATACTGGGTTAAGCATTATAGTGGCATAGAAGAGGGAAAGCCCTAGATACTATTTTTTGACATCAAGTGTGAAATAAACAACAAAAAACAAGTAAATAGGCTTGGTATTTTTTAATGTATCCATTTTCAAAAAAAGATAACTATTCTTAACCTCAGAAAACCATTACTTTCACTTAAAAAAAAATCTAAAGACTAAATTCACTTTTCTATCCAACCACCTAGTATTTCAGTAACATACTCATGTGAAATATAATTTCAAATAATACTGCAGTATTCTTCATTAGAAAACAAAAGTTCTTCAAATACTTAAAACAATAATCAGAGGTGGGGGAGGAATCTTTTTTTTTTTTTTTAATGAGTATGAGTGCTTACTTCTACCTATGCAGATGTACCCATGTCACGCAGTGCCCACAGGGGCAAGAAGAGAAAGTCAAATCCCCTGGAACTGGAGCTACGGATGACAGTTAGCCACCATGTGGTTGTTGGAAACTAACCCAGGTCCTCTGCAAGAGCAGCCAGAGCTCTTGACTGCGGAATCATCTCTCCTGCCCTAAGGAGGAATCTTTTTTAAAGGGAGTTAACTGATATTTAAGAAAAAAATTGTTTTCTACAAAGTGAACAGATTGTAATATACATGTATAATGAAAAATCTGGCAGGACTACATTCCAGTGTGGGAAGTAACTTCTAAACTCCTCACCCATCCTCTAGTTTATGCCCCTACTTTATGCTAAGATGTCTCAGTCAGTGAGAAAGATCAATCATGTGAGTAGAGGGTTACAGCTTTGAGCAGAGTGATGCCCATATCATGGGGGGCGGGGGCAGGGATTTAAAAATCTCAGCCAACTGCAAAGATAATTATTCAATCATTCCTGCAATAATAAAGCCAAAAATAAACTCTAGACACCAGGGTCAGCAAGATGGTAAAGAAATCCAAGCCTCATCCCCTGACACACATGTAAACACCAAACTCTATACAGTTGGAAAAGCCTCTATGATAATTCTAAAAACTAATCAGGAAGTCACTGTACCCAAGAAAAGTTCAAAGCTAAGAACACCTGTAGTGAAACTGGTAAGAAAGTCATTTCATTTGATCCATATCTACTACCCAACCACCAAACAGACACAGCTTGGGACTAAGAAAAAAATGCAGCCCAGGGAGAAGAGTGAAACGTATGTCCAATATTCTGGCCTTTCAGGAAGCTGTCCAAGGGCCTGGTGTCTGTCTCACCTAACACTAAACACAGCTAGAGAACCTACAGCTTGGCTATCTGTGGCCAATGAGACAACAGATGAGGTGGAAGTTTGTGGAAGCACCAGAAAACTTGCAGTGCCCTAGGCCAGAAGCTGATCCAGCTCACCATGACTGGAAAAAACACTGGCTCAGGAAGTATGTCACTGGGTGTGGGTTTTGAGTTTGTAGCCTTGTCCCACTTGCAGTTCACCCTCCCTGCTTCATACTTATGGTTGAAGATAGGATCTCACAGCTTCCTGCACCTGCTAGGATGCCTGCCGCTTGCTGCTGTGCCTCCCTGCCACAATGAATTCTTATCCCAACTCTTCTTTCAGTTAAAAAAAAAAAATTTAGGGGGTGTAGAGATGGCTCAGCAGTTAAGAGCACTGACTGCTCTTGCAGAGGACCTGGGTTCAATTCCTAGCACCTAAATGGCAGTTACGAACCATCCTTAACTCCAGTTCCAGAGGAATCTGAAGCTCTCTTCTGACCTCTGCAGGACTGTACAACATGGGTGCACTCACATACATGCAATACACTCATATACATAAAACTAAAACATAATATTTAAAAAATTTTTTTTAAAGATTTAGTTGTATGCATATGAATGTTTTGCCTGAATGTATCATGTGCATGCCCATTGCCCACAGAGGCCAGAAAGGGGCATGGATGCTCTAGAATTGAAGATACAGGCAGTTGTGAGCTACCATGTGAGTGTTGGGATCCAAACCCAGGTCCTCTAAAAGAACAGCGAGTGTTCTGAACCACTGAGTCATTTCTCCAGCCCCCTCCCCTTCAGTTGTATTTGGTAATGATATTTTATCATAACACAGAAAAATAACTAATACAGGTACCAGAAGTGGGGTGTAGCTGTGAAGAACCTGACCATTCTATTTTTGAAGCAATGTGGAAGGCTTTGGAATGTTGTACTAGAAAAGCAGTTAACACTGTAAGCAAAGATTAAGAGGCTTTTCTAGTAGAAGCCTGGAAGACAGCAATGCTGAGAGTAATGTGGACTGTACAGGCCGGTTTCAGAGAAAACCAAGGACTTCAATAACACATGGCTAGAGATCACTTATGTGATATTTTGGCAAAGAATCTGGCTGCCTTCTGTCCATGTTCTAAGAACCTGCCTGAGGCCTGGTCAAAGATAATGGACTAATTTCTTTGGTGGAAGAAATTTCAAGATAGCATAATGTTGAGTCTGTGGCTTAGTTATTATTGAAAAAGTATTCAGATCTATAGTGAAAAAGAGTAAGTGTGGCAGGAACAAATACATAATATACAGTTCAGAGAGAACAAGTGCACTAGGAAGCGCAATGTTACATCCAAGGAGAGGCTATAACTGTTAAAGAGATTAGTGCCATTAAGGAAAAGCCTCCAGCTCTACACTAGAACAACGGGTAGGATGCCATCAGGACGATTCCCCTCCACCCCCCACAGCTAAGCTTCCAACTTGTGAAAGGAAAAGGCCTAAAAACTTTTCTGCTCCTAGAAAACAACATTAAAAACTTGCTGCAGAGGGACTGGAGAGATGGCTCAGCAGTTAAGAGTACTGGTTGCTCTTGCAGAGGACCCAGGTTTGATTCTCAGCACTCATGTGGCAGCTAACAACTATCCACATCTCCAGGGAATCTGACCCTCCATTCTGACCTCCACAGGCATTGAACAACACAGACACACTTACACACATGCAGGCAATATACTCATATACATAAAATAAAAAAATAAGATATAAATATCTTTTTTAAGTATTTTTAAATATTTTATTATTTTTATGTGTATGCCTGTATTGCCTGCATGTAGGTAAGTGCACCCATGTCGTCCAAAGCCGGCAGAGGACAGAAGAGGCCGACGGATCCCCTGGAACTGGAATTAAGGACAGCTGTTGGCTGCCATGTGGGTGCTGGGATTCAAACCCGGGTCTTCTACAAGAACCAGTGTTCTTAACCGCTGAGCCATCTCTCCAGCCCCGAGATATACATTTTTTTAAAGCTGCTGCAAATGCAATGCAAAGAAGCAAGTGTCCATCCCAAGTTGACAGCTGAACTTAGACATGACATCCATTAGTTTTGGAGGTATGAAAGATGCAAGAGTGAGAGGGGTCGTGGATTCTTCCGCTGGAGTTTCATAGAGCCACTGAGGGCAGGCAACATGTGTCAGTACTAGAGTCACTGCAAGAGGAGGCCACTATGCGAAGCTGTGAAAGTGAAACCTAGGTTGTGGTGGAGCCCCCAAGATGTCAGAGATGCCAGAGCCCTGAGATATCTGTGAAGGAAAGCTGCAAACAAGGAGTGGAACCAGCCCAAGAGAGATATATGTTGAAGGCAGCAAAGCTGGAGGGGTGGAGCCATCTAAGCTCTTTGAAACTAAAGTCCCAGACAGGGAACTACAGGATTTAGTATTTGCTCTGCTGGGTTTTAGTCTTACTTTGGTCTAGTATTTCCCCATTATGACCCATTCCTCTCTTTTTGAAAGGGAATGTATACTATGGGCCATTGTATGTTGGAAGCATGCAATTTGGTTTTAGATTTTACAGAGGTTAAAGAGATTGGCTTGAGCTGGACATGGTGGCACACACCTTTAATCCCAGCACTCCTGAGGCTGAGGCAGGTGGATCTGTGTGAGTTCAAGGCCAGCCTGGTCTACATAGTGAGTTCCAGGTCAATTGGGGCTACAGGGAGACCCTGTCTCAAAAATGACAAAAAAAAAAAAAGAGAGAGAGAGAGAGAGAGAGAGATTTGGATTTAAATAGTGTTGAAACTGTTAAAGACTATGGGAACTTTTAAAGCTGGACTAAGTACGTTTTGCATTATGATACAGTCATGAGCCTATGGGGGTGAGGGAGTAGAAATCGGTGATTTGAATGAGAAATGTCCACCACAGGCACAAGTATTTGAACACCTGGTCCCCAACTGGAGGTGCTACTTGTGGAACTAAGGACGCATGGCCTTGCTGAAAGAAGTATATCACTAGGGGTAGGCTTTGAATGTTTGTAACTTTGACCTACTTCTTGTTTGCCCTTTGCTTCACGTTTGTGATTGAGGATAGGATTGCTTAGGTTCCTGCTTCTTCCTCCATGCCTGCCCCTTGCTCCTATGCCTCCTAGCCATGAGCACTTATCAC